AACTCGGAACATTGCGTTGAACAACTAAATGACTTATCTAGTGTTGTTTGGGGTTAAAATATGTTAGAATACAATAACTTTGATTGATTACAAGTGCTAAAGATGCATGAAGAGTGTTTAGAAGTGTGTAGAAAAACTTGTTGAAATTGGGTTCCTGATACTATGATTTTTCTATCAATTACCCTAGAGTACTATCATGTCATTGCAGTACAATAGGTATCAATCCAATCAGGTATGATGCTAGCAATCAAGATATATCAGAGATGATTAAGTCAAGCAAGCATAAATGATTTTTGGTTTTCAGCGATCCTAAGCGAACATGTTAAACATGCAATAAATGTAAAGCTGTAAAACATAGACTATCAAGCATAAACTAAAACGTAACGATTATTGATACTGGCAAGAAAACAAAGCAGACCAAGTAAATAATAAGAGAATTAAACAGAAAGCACAAATGGATAGAAGATCCCGAGGATGAGGTTATTAATGTAGGTGGAGTATGCTAATCTACTTCGAGTGTTTATCAAACTGCAAACATTCTAATCCCTAGACAATGAACTTCTAATACTAGTCAATCCAATCTCTTGGCAGAAACTATCAAGTTTACAACACTTCCTAATCACAATTCTCATTGATGAAACATGCAGTAAACAGGCATAAAGAAAAAGCTCATTAATGTCAATAAACATCTTAGACAACCAATCTCTTGGGCTAAGCATGTAAATCTCTGGCACTAGTTGGTTCAGACATTTCATCATATACCTTTCGGGTATGAAATGTCTATGACCTAGTTCCAATTGATCAGAGAAGAACTAGCTAATAAAACTCTAGTCCATAAGGGAAACAAAATGAATCTAACATAAACACTCTAGCAAACTAACATCCTCCACCTAATCTATCCCATCCTCAAGAACCCTAACACTACTCAGACGCAGAAATCATGTTAAACATCATGAAACAAGAATCGTTCAAAACATGCATAATAATAAGGATGATAGGAAGAGTAACAACAATGATTTCAGAACTAGTTGCAAAATCTCAATAACTCAAAAGAAATATGAATTACAATTCTCAGGATCGTTTTGTGGCTACAACAAAAACCTAATACAAAATAAAACTCGATCTTCGGCAATCCAAATGAAGCCTATTTATAACAATTTTTGGGAAAACCTTAAAACATAAAACGACAACGTAAAAGCGGTTCAAACGTTGTTTTGACTAAGTTGGTCGAGTGAGCACCTCGAGTGACCATCTTCTCTGCTTTGCTCGATCGTGTCACTCGAGTGATCGTGTCGAGTGACCTGTAAAACCATCAGCTACTTCTTTGCTTTGCTCGATCATGTCACTCGAGTGAGTGCATCGAGTGACAGGTAGTTCTGCTTCGCTTCCCATCTGCTCGATCTGCCACTCGATCGTATACGTCTGCTGCTCACTCGATCGTCGATGTAACTGCAACGCATCCTTGCTTCTCACTCGATCGTCCCACTCGATCGTTTGCATGTCGAGTAACGCTTGTTCCTCTGCTTCGCTCTGCATGTCTCCTAAGTACCTGAAACACTCCAAATATGCACAATGTATGCAAGATATGCATAAAACCTACCTAAGTATGTAAAACATGCAGAAAGGGATCAATATGATGCGAATCAACAAGTGAATGATGCTGAAAAGATGATGAATGCATGCTAGAAAAGCGATGAAATACAGACTTATCAAGGACCATTGTAGAATTGCGACATATGATACCTAAGAATCCCATTCCATGAAGATCTATAAGGAGCCAAAAAACCAGAATCAACCACATAATATTTGTCTCCAGGAGGCAAAGAAAATGCAAATCACCATCTTGCACCATCGCGAGAACTGCTGTATCGTGACAAGATCCCAGTCTCCATTCAAACATATGTGAACAGCATATTCAAATCACATATTGCCATTATAATAAATGCGGTTTTATCATGGTGATTCCAATATATTCCATGGAGTTAAGGTTTAACTTTAACACATACATGAAGTCCATCCATAACTCCAATAAATCCACTAAAATATGGCCAATATCTACGATCCATTTGCTGTCGTTGAGGTATTTGACGCAGTTCTTCATAATCATCTTGGTCGAAAATATTTGGACGTAATTGTTCTAAACTTTGGCGCTGAAACTCTCTGAACCCATTCATTGTATCTGTTAGAGTTGACTCAAATGACTGTTTTCTGCGATTTCCTCTTGAACCACTCCCAATAGAGATTTGTGAGGTTCCTGCCCCTCTTTGTGAACTACTTCCACGTCTTAATCCACCTTGTTGTTGAACTATTGAGGCAGGAGTATGAAACAGAGGAGCATGTGGAGAATTCTGATGTAAACGATCCTGGGTGAATTCATTTGAGGGACGTGTTTCATCGCTGATATTAACACGATACACCTCTTCATTTTTTTGTGTCTTAGAAACTTGAGTTTCATCATCATTTATGCCTTCATTCATTAACTCTTCTCGTCTTTGGTGCACAGAGTATTGAGACTGTGATTGTACATCATGTAAGTTGAAACAATGTTGCTTCACATCCCAATAGTAAGGCGGCTTTCGTTTAAATGATCTTACAATCCTACATTTCTGTTAATAAGTTTAGTAAATTTTAGTTTACAAGTTTAATGTATACCAAAATTACTTAACATATTTTGGCTGTGAAAGATATTTTAACACTTACAACTTCGCGATCTTTCCACCAAGAATTAGACGCAGATATGACGGATGTCACAGGGTCAACTGAAATTCCCGTAGAATTTTGCATAAGTTGCTTGTACTTCTTGTACTTTCTTTTCAGTTGATCAAGGTTTTTTTTGAAAAAACGATAGTTTATATTTACATTGAACTCCTTGTTGAATTTTTCAACCAAAAACTCTCTTCCAAAGGGTGTTGGATCTTTGAAGAAGTAATTATTCATGGCAATTGCTTGATCGTAAAGCTCAATAAATAGTCTTTCCTGACTAGGATTCTATTTAAAATTATCTTCGCTCTAAAAATTTTTAAAAATTCTCAATATTTAATTTACTTAAATTAAAAGGTAAAATTTGGTAAAATAAGGTGTAACTACATACCCGTGTCGACGTTTCTGTAGGAAAATTTGTATCGTCTTGCATGAAAGAACTTTCATTTTGCCGGCGGTTAGACATACCTACAAATACAATTCAAAAATAATTTTATGTTAAATATAAGAAAACTAGTATTTGACCTGGGATAATTCTATGTTAATATAAATTATTTTTATAATGTTAAATTTTTAATTCTTTAAAAAGATTATATAGACCTAACAAAAATCTAACTTCTAAATATGTAAACAATCATCATTATATCACTTACGAATTAAAAATGGATCTAATTTCTGGAAAACTAAGATCTATATTGTTAGTTAAACTACCTATAATTTTTGGAATTTGTTCTCAGTGGTTAAGGCACTTGTATCATAAAAATAGTACGCGAAGTTAATTAGACAAAGTATCTTGATAGATATATGTTAAAAAATCACTACACAAATTATTCATGATGTGTGGGAGTTAGAATAGGAGTGTTTAAATATACAAATTATTGAATTGTTATTTTTTTTTTATGTCATCAATTATTGACTTGTTTGCTATATGCATTTTTCAAGATAGCATTAAATTATGAGTTGTTAATTTCTCGTAATATATGTTAAATGGCAGTTACTTTTTTTTTGTTTTTGTTATTGTATTATTAATACTTCTTTTTAAGTGAAGGTACTTATGTTAAAATGTTCAATTGGATTTTTTAGTTTGTCGAACGTGCTCTTCTTTTTCATTTTTCTTCTTCTTTTTAGAATTAAAGTGTTCTTTTTTGGAAATAAATATATTTATTAACCTGTGATTCATTGATAGTTTTGTGAGAAATAATTGTTTGGTATAATTAATTAGTTTGGAGAAGTAAATCATTAATAACTGATCAATTTCAAATATTATTGTCGAATCTTTTTCAAATAAATATTATCAAACTATATAGTGTAAATGTATAATTTATAATCATTAAATAAATTAACCAAACAATATATATATATATAAATATAAAATTAACATACATATTACGTAAATGGCAGAAAACGCCTGTTTTAAACAAAACTTTAAATACCTTTATTTTTTTACTACTAATATATTATATAATGTAACTACATTTATTTAAGAGGAAAAATATATATACCTTTCAGTAGGAAATTATAGAAACAAGAGGTGTAGAGTTGAAGCTTGGATTGTATTTTGAATGCTGTAAAAAAAAACATATGTTAGTGTATAGAAAAATTATAATGTATGTAATTGAAAAAAAAATACCTTTGCAAAAAAAAAGTTAGAACACAGAGAAAGAAGAAGTGTGAGGTGTGAGTGTTGTGAAGTGTAATTATATAGAAAAAAAAAAAGGTGTTTTTCGAGTTATTATTTTATTAAAAAAATAAAAATGTATGAAAACACAGATAAAAAAACATCAAAAGAAGCTTGAACAACTTCCCCCACATAAGTCCTGTCTTTATCACAATAAGAAAAAAAAAAAATGAACTGCCTACGGGCTTTTCGTTTCTGTTTAAAAAAAAAAAAAAAATAGTGAATGGTCTATTGGTAACAAGAGACCTACATGCATAGGTCAAACTGCTCTTTTCCTGTCTCCTCATTCAAAGCCTAAAGGGAGATCTCTTCCGCATAACTACATCAGCACTACTCACTTGTGTAGGCCCTAACGAGGCCGTCGATGTAATGCGAGAAGTCCACGAAGGCGCGGGCGGAAACCACTCTGGCGGCAGATCTCTTGTGTTAGGGATTTGCAAAACTGGCCATTTCTGATTGACAATGAATGCGGATTGCGAAATATTTATAGCCATGTGTGAAAAATGTCAGCGTTAAGCTCCTTTCATTCATGCTCCAACCGAACTCCTTTGTAAAGCCTCGCAGACTTACACATTCATACGTTGGACGATGGATATCGTCAGTCCTCTACCCGCCTCCCATCAAAAGAAGTATATCATCATTATGATGGATTAATTCACCAAATGGGTTGAAGCAGAATCTTACGCAAGGATCCAATCAAAGATTGTTTGGAAGAACATAATTTGTAGGAACGGACACCCATACGAGATCGTCACCGATAACGGCACCCAATTTACATCACTATAATTTGAAGGTTTCAGCCCTTGTTGGCGGATACACTTGAGCAATTCGACTCCCCGATATCCGCTGGGAAACGGTCAAGCCGAAGCAAGTAGCAAAACTATTATCGATGGCATCAAGAAACGACTCAAAGATAAAAAAAAAGAATTTTGGGTCGACGAGCTCGATGGCGTATTATGGTCACATCGAACCTCCCCACGCCGCTCTATAGGTCCCACCCCGTTTTCCCTTGTCTACGGGATGGAAGCACTCGCCCCTGCCGAAGTCGGGATACCAACCCTTTATTGTTCGATGCTTGTGCATAACCCAGCTCTGAATCACACAATGATGCATGATAGTCTCGACTCTCTCGAGGAAGAGCGAGATAAAGGGCTGTTCGTATACAAAACTATCAGCAAGCTGTAACCAAGTTTTACAACAAGAAGGTGAAAGCCAGATATTTTGCTGTAGGAGACTTGGTTTTACGGAAAGTCTTCGAGAATACCACCGAGCTCAATGCCAGAAAATAAGGGGCACACTGGGAAGGACCTTACCTTATCTCTAAGATTGTAAAGTCTGGCGATTACGAACTCAAAACAATGGACGGCACTCCAATTCTCATTCATGAAACTCACTACACAGTGAGGAATCTACACTTTGCATGGTGACCCATTGGTACCCAGCACGGTGAATCGGGTTAGGTGCCGACATGCCACACCCTTTGAAAGACGAACTCGTAAAAGTTTTGAAGCATAATTCTTTGACCTTCTCTTGGACCCTTGACGACATGCCCATCATAGACCTTAATGTTTTATGCCATGAACTCAATGTAGATCCACCCTACAAGCCGGTCAAGCAAAAGCGAAGAAAGCTAGGCCATGATCATGCTACTGCTGTCAACGAGGAAGTCCGAAAGCTGTTGGACGCTGATTCTATTATGGAAGTCCGATACCCTGAGTGGATAAGCAACTCTGTTGACGTTAAAAACAAGAACAAAAAGTGGAGGGTCTGCGTCGATTTTACCGACCTCAATAAGGCGTGTCCGAAAGAAAGCTTTCTCCTTCCATGTATCGATCAGCTAGTCAAAGTTGCGGCTATAAACAAGCTACTCTCCTTTATGGACGCTGTTTCTTGTTACAACCAAAAATGATCGAGAGAAAACATCATTCATCATCGAGCTAGGGTCATATTGTTACAACGTAATCCCATTCGGGTTGGAGCTACGTACCAACGCCTTTTCATTCGAATGTTCGCAAGCCAACTTGGCTGAACAATGGAGGTATGTATCGACAACATGCTCGTTAAATCTTCCCACACCGCCAACCACGTTTCTCATCTACAACAATGTTTTCAAGTACTAAAAGAGTATAGAATGAAGTTAAGTCTTGCTAAGTGCGCCTTCCGTGTGAAATCAGGCAAATTCTTGGGACACCGCATCATCCAGAGAGGCATTGAAGAAAATCCCAAAAACATTTCAGCAATTAACAACTTGTCGTCCCCAAAAAATACTTGCGAGGTACAACGTCTCACAAGTGCATTGCCGCAATGAACACATCTATATTGCTGTCTTTAGCTCGGCTGTGAGCGGTTTAGTCGTCAAAGATGATCGAGGTGAACAACACACGATCTTTTATGTAAGTAAGACCCTTGACGGTGCCGAATTATGCTACCCTATGTTGGAGAAGCTTGCATATACGGTAGTTATCTCGTTTCGGAAACTATTTCCAATCACATTCTGTCGAAGTCCTTACAAATCAACCGCTCCAAACGATTCTCCTCAGCCCAAGCCAATCTGGCCGACTAGCAATTTAGGCCGTTGAGCTCGGCGAAGTTAAAGCCGAAATGAAACTATTTTCAATCATATTATGTAGAAGTCCCAAGTTCTCGCTGTCTTTCTCGTTGAACTATCGCCAGAACTCGATCAAGGAGTGTCCGAGGACGAGAAGTGGACACTGCACGTAGATGGTGCATCTTTAAAACATGTTTCACGGGTCGACATTCACTTGCAATTCTTGACAGGATAAGTGTTAGAACAATCTTTCCGATAAACGTTTACAGCCTCAAACAACGAGGTAGAATACAAGGCGCTAATCGCCGGCCTTCGGCTAGCGCACGGCATTGGAATCAAAAGAATTCAGGCATACTACGGCTCACAGCTCGTTGCTAACTAGTTCAGCGGCAATTATGAAGCTAAGAATGAAAAAATGGATGCATATCGCAAGGTTTTTCGTGATCTCTCCAAAGTGTTCCAACATTTTGAGCTAACCAAGATTCCTCGTAGTGACAACGCTCCAGCAGATGCACTCGCAATGCTCATTTCCACATCTAATCCTGACCTCCGTCGAGTCAAACCTGTCGAAAGCATCGACCAGCCAAGCATTGGCCTCGGTCTACTAGCATAGCTTGGTATTCCTCTGATTACCACGCCGACTTCGAATGATGTCGCGCCTCATACTATGGAACCTGCCACCCTAGTCAATCCAACCCCTACACAATCAACTGCTTTGGTTGGCGATTCGACTCTGGCCTAGCCAGTTCCTATGTCAACCGCAACTGCCGTCCTAGAAAACGATGTGAACTCGGCGCATCAAGTGGCGAGCAAGCTCCCAAACTTATCATTTTGGTACCAACAACTGTATTACCACCGTCTGCAAAAATGCTCGCAATACCTCTACCGATAGGCGACACCGACCTCGCCAACGGCGCCGAACTCGCTAGCGACACAGACCTCACCAACAATGATAATATGCCAGTGCGCAGCCCGTCCGCTACCTCGCAAGATCCTTCTTCGAACTCAGAG